GTGTTTGATGGAGTGGAAAAGCACTGCTGCATTCCTCAAAAAAACAAAAACAAATGTCACACTGAAAAAACAATATAGAAATAAGTAAAAATATCTTAAATGAAGTGTATTTATCCTTAATTTAGTAGGTAAATAAGATGATTTTGACAATTGAATTCGTTTTTTTACTCTTAAAATAAGATATTTAGAAAAAAATGTGCTTGTAATAAGACAGGGCAATGCTTTTACTTATTTTAAATGTATACTGTCTTGTTCCATTGGCAAACTATCTCAGTTACATCCTCCATTTAAGACAAAATGCACTTAATTTAAGAAAAAATTACTTTTTCAGATTTCAATTTTGTGCAGTGCAGCTTTCTCCAGCTTTGGGATGCGTGAAACATCCTTTTAATGTTTAGATTAATTTTGTCATTCACTCTAAGGCCAAAGACTGACAGCCTATTGGGGATTAATTTCCTAGTTTATCCACTTTACTCGCTTTTCAGTGGGTAAGGGTGTTTCCTTTGTCAGAGCTATGTAAGATGTGAAGCTGAAAAGTGTCAGAAAAAATTTCCGTGGAACAAATCAAGCCAATTAATTCAATGCAATGTAGCCTCAGGTTAATACCTATATAATATATTCCTTTTATATTACATTATAAGATGCATGTGCTATTTCTAAGATTTTTTAAATATTATTTATAAGAATGAGCTCTCCAAAGCCTCTCAACCAAGGTTTTGTAACACAATGAAATGTTAAAATAATTAAAAACAATTTAGTAAAAATGAAAAAAAAAACTTCAGCTTCAATATTTCGTCAGTATTCAGTATTTAAAGCTTAAACTGTTCTCTTATGAAGTCATTCTTTTGTTGATTCTGATGCACATTTGATCTCTAATTTCTACAATGAAAATTCAACAAACAAACTCAACTTAAAATAATAAAAAGTTAAAACAGATTATCATTGGGTTTCACCATGGGTATGCTTTTCTTTAAGCATTGTTATATATCTATTAGAAACTCTGCTCACCCTGAAAGGGGATTTGCAGGAACAACAAATTATATTTTCATAAGTTTGGTAACAGTTTGGATAGGCATTGTGTAAATTATTCCTGAAGCAGGTGCAGGTAGTTGTAGGAAGATGATGTAATTTTTAGCAGAGTGTAAGATGGATTAAAATAGAGACTAGAACTTGAGTGAGCTGAAGGTTTGAATAAAAAAACAGAGTGTCTGTGGAGCACAGACAGAGGGTCAGCTGTGTTATGGAAGAATCCTGCAAGTAACAATGAAAAACTAGGGGATTCATAGCAAAAATTTGGGGTTTATTTATAAAACATGGCGTAGTGTTCATGCTTAAAGTTTTCCTACACTCTAAAATAAAAAACGCAGACTCATAAAATCACCTACAACAACCTTTCTCGATTACCTCTGCCTTTGCTTACAAGATTTAATTTCATGTTATAACCTCTAAAAGCCTATCTTACAAATGACTTCATGAATTTTAACATGTATTTTAAGAAACCAGCTGATAAATTATGTTTTATGGCTTATAATGGCAACCACTGAGAAAGGAACAATGAAACCTATTATGCAGATTATGCAAACCACATACCTGTACCCTAATTTGAATGTTAAGAGCATTTGTCAGAAACCCCTCTTGAAACACTAAACTGTGGTTAATCCTTTAACCGCCTTGTCAACCCCAACCAGTATTCTGCTGTTCAAATGGTCAACCGTTTGGTTTACCAGGCAGTTAAAGGGTTGGCTCTAACAGAATTGACAAAGACTCCTGGATATGTGTCAAAATGTCTTTAAAAAACTGAGCAAAAATCCTATTCCAATCTAAGCTTGTTGTGGACAGAAAGTCTAATGGAAGTGGAAAAGGTGACAAGAAAGGATGGACAAACAAAAGAGATCCTTGTTGGCTTAAACAGATGATCAGTCACAGAAAATTCAAGAATCTCAAGATTCAGAAAGATTCAGCTTTAAAAAAAACACTACATTCAGACACATCGAGAAGATGGGCTTCAACTATTGGGTTCCCTGGGTCAACCAACTTCTGGAAATGAGTTAACTTAATACAAGTGAGGAACAGAACGCAAGCTGCATGATGTCAAGTGTTAAATGTCCACAGTCAATCATGATTTAGGCTGCAATGTCTAGTTGGTAAACTCTGCTTTTGTAATTCCAAATATTGACAGCAGTTTACCAGAATATTTTAATGGATTTCATGATTCCTTCTACTGAGGAACGGTATGTAGATATGGCACCTGCCCATATCGACAAAAACACCAAAACCTGGTTTGATGCTCATACCATCACACTGCTTTGCTGGCCAACCAACTCACAAGGCATAAATCGCAGAATTAACCTTTGGGGTATTCTAAGGAGAGAATAGTGAGTGGCGACAATAAAGAGGAACTGACAGCAAGCATCAAGGAATTTAGGGCTTCCATAACTCCCAGGGCAAGGCTGATTGCCTTGTTTGCCTCAATGGCATGTCACAATGAGGCAGTGATTAAGGCAAAGGGGTTTCCCAACTGAGAATTGAAGATCGACATATCATTTTGAAAGTAAAATATTTTGAGTGATTTAATGTGATCATACTTTTTTCCTTCTTTCTGAAAAAACTGAGATCCATCCCTCCATCCATCCATTTCCTAGCACACTTATCCCAAGTGGGGTTGCCTGGGGTGCTGGTGCCTATCTCCAGCAGTCAATAGGCGAGAGGCGGGGTACAGCCTGGACAGGTCCATCGCAGGGCCAAAAACTGAGATGTAAATGGTAATTTCTTGAAAGTATTCTAATGTTTTGAATCATTGTTTTCTTATGTATTTTGAGCTGGAAATCCTTGTTATTGAGATAATTTATATTTTGGGCCCAAAACCTATTATCTCCGAAAGTTGGACTTTTTGATTAGAATACAATTCCATTAGATGGAATTTTCTTGAAAAGGGTCTGAAGATCCAAAAGTATTTCTCTAAGGTGTTAAAATCGGCATATTAACCAGTCATCATCATGGGCCAGGAAATCTTGCTAATCCCTAAAAATACATTTCCTCCCAATTCACTCATTTACAAAGTCCTCCAGCAGTGCCAGTGCATCCATCACTTATCATTATTAAGTGTCACAGATATATTCAATGTTTACAGCAATCACTGCGATTGGCTCACACTTTGTTACAATTTATGCATAACATGTAGTACACAGACATTACCATGATGATTATCAGGGAGATGAATGTGATGATGGGAAAATGTTGAAATAAAGATAAGTTTGCTTATAGGGCTATTAGTTAGGTCCTTATGTATAGTTATGACTGACCAGTGCAAGCATTAAAAAAACTGCCCTTTTGAACACTTATGATAAAGTCACTCTATGATTAAAGTGTGATATGGAGTATAATTAAAAGTCTGATAAGAATCAAGACACAATTTCCCATTTCCTTCTCTGTGCTGCCATTTCCCCCATCTCCAAAAAGAGCACACATGGATTAGACTTTGTGTGAGGGGTCGCACATCCATCCATCCATCCATCCATCCATCCATCCATCCATCCATCCATCCATCCATCCATCCATCCATCCATCTGTCCGTCCATCCATCTTCTTCCGTTTATCCAAGGTCAGGATCCCAACTCTGATCCGTCCCACACCTGCTCTATTACACTACCACACACATAGGATCTTGGGGAAGATCATCACCAGGGTTGGGTCCTCCTGTGCTGGTGGCCTATGCCACAGTTTAAATCTACTCCCTGGCAAATATTATTTCCAAGGCAGACATATGTGGGGCATCAGGGTGGGCATGTTAGGGACAGTTGAGATGGGTTGGCCTTATTGGCTTTGCTTCCAATGCTCACAGCCACATGGGCTGATAAAGGCTGATACTCAGAAACCAGGTAGTCTGCATGTGTGTTACAGTGAATGCAAATGTGCTGGTTTCAAGTGCCCAGTGGGACCTCAGCAGTATGGACTCTAGGTTCACGCACCTCAAGATTTGGGACCCTTTGGGGTTAGCTTTGTGGGGTTGGGCTCAAGGTGCTCTTGTCTACCCTTATCTGGTGGATGCGGCCATCCCTATGTCTACCCTCCTTGTGCCCCTGTGATCTGGAGTTCCTTTGGATATCTGGGGCTTGCATCGCCTCTTTTTCTATCCTGGGCCCTGTAGGTCAAATCTGGGGCTGCCCACACCTGCTATTGAGCATATTTTCCTTCTGAAGAAGCTTTGTAAATCCTTTTTAAATGTGCATACCCATGCATAAATACCATGGGTGTTTGGTTCCAGTTTTTTAAGGATACACACTAATTTTTAATATTAAGCTGCAGCTACAGATACATACCACCATGAATTATAATGACACATGGATATCAAAGGGATGCCAGCTGCTCTGGAAGCTTTTCTTATGTGTTCCTTGGTTGCCTGTTGACTTCTTCTTGCTCTTGTTATGTTATCCGTTTTCTGTCCGTCTTTTCATGCACTCTTTCCTGTCTCTATCTCTTTCTCCTTAAATTTTAACCCCTCTTTCTTTCTCACCTTCCTTTCTTTCTCTGTGTCTGTTGTATTCGATTTTACACCCTAAATCATTGTAGATTAAGTTTCATACAGAAGTACCATGCAAAACCTTATGGCAACAGTCATGACGATCTGCTTGTGAAAGCAAATCTGTAGTGCTCTCATCTAGTTCTGGGACACCTCTTCCCAGAGCTGTATTAGCAAAACAGAAAAAGTAAATGTAGCAAACACCCAAACACCTAAGAGATTTTTACCAGATTTGGTCTTGGCAAATTGGAAAGCTTCTTGTAGGTGTGATAACTAAAAATGAGAACCATAGATATTACATATAGATATGTTCCTTGCACCTTATCTAACTCAAACAGGTTTTAATGCAAAAAAAAACAGAAAGGGGACAGACTTGCTGAAAGTTATATTATCTTGTCTTGACCACAGTACTTTTCTATTTGGACCAACAAATACTATGTTTTTCTGAATTAGCTTGGGATGAAAGTCCAGTATTTCTTACGACATGTGGGTGCTGGTGGAGGTGAGGCTGCAGCTGAACTCATGCTGTTAACCGGTGCTGAACTTGTCCCCAGTGAAGCATGTGATGAATTATAAGTGACAGAACTTGTGTTAGTCAGAGCTGCAGTCACACTGGCCTCAGAAGAGCTGAAGCTTCCCATGGTGCCATTCCCTGAAGGATGCAGTGTGCTGGAAAAGGTTGCGTTCACAGGTGGGGGCTCAGTGGAGGTATGCACCACGGTGTCCCCTAGAGGCAAAAAAACAAAACAAAACAAAGACATGTTGAATGAAATGCTCTGAGCAAAACTTTATGTGGGAATTAATGGGATTTTTTGTTTTGCTTTCTGTTTAAAAGTTGAATTGCCACAAACAAAAAATGCCAAAACTGTCATGTTTGTTAAAGTATGGGATTTGGGCCTTTCCCATCTGAGGGAAGTAGTTTATAACCTGCTGTTAAATTATGCATATTTTTTATATTTTTTTTTGTCACAGAATGTACTTTCATGTGACCTTATTAGTTTTGCAATTTGAAAAATACCATTTGTCTTTGTTATTTCTTTCACTGGTGCTTTCCCCTCCCTCTGTCCGTCCCTCATTTATTTGCATAATATCTGTCTGCAGTGGTGCAAAAGTACTTGTATCCCTTGACTTTTACACATTTTATTAAGACACTACCACAAATGTAATTTTAAGTCATATTTAAATTGTAATTAAGATGAAACCAACAAAAGGTAGTACATACGTTTGAAATTAAAGTAAAATAATATTCTGATGCTATAAACTTTCATTTTTGCTAATTAAACTAAGTAGGGAGTCAATACTTTATAGCTTTCTCTGCTGTTACAGCTGCAGATCTTTTAAGGTGTCTGTCTACCAGCCTTGCACGATTTCGGGAACATTGTATCCAATTTAACTTTGAAACAATCAGTCAGACTAGATGGAGACTATAAAGATAGATTTTTTATTCTTAACTCAGATTTTTTTTTATTAAATTCAGATCTGTTGTTGTCTTGATGGAAAGTAAAACTTTCCTCTAGTCCTAAAAGTAAAAATAAGCATTTCTTCTGCATGGTGCTGCCATCACTGCAGGGAGAGAGGGTTCAGTCTGATGTACACTTTAGATTTATGGTTAATATTGTATTTTTCATTAGAGCCAAACTGTAAGATTTTGGTCTCATCTGTCTGTTTGTTTCTTCAACGCTTATGCACCAGTTTCTCTTTACTGCATTGTATAAAATTCAGTTAAATACACTATAGTTTGAGAATCTGACAGGAAAAAAGTTGAAGTTCAAGGGCTACTTTTTTTGTTTTTTTCCCCCTAACTGCACTCTATGAGAAATGTAAATTAGTAAGTTTTAATGTATTTAAAACGAGGGGACCAGAGGGTGTGTTCCAACTACAGAGGAATCACACTCTTAAGCCTCCCTGGTAAGGTCTATTCTGGGGTTCGGGAAAGGAGGGTCCGTCGGATAGTCGAATCTCAGATTCAGGAGGAGCAGTGTGGTTTTCATCCTGACCGTGCAACACTGGATCAGCTCTACATCCTCAGCAGGATCCTGGAGGGTGAGTTTCTCAAGAAGTTTACATGTGTTTTGTGGCTCTGGAGACGGCATTCGACCGTGTCCTGCGGGGGGTGCTCTGGAAGTACCAGGCCCTTTAATAAAGGCTGCTAGGTCTCTGTACGGCCGGTGTCAGAGCCTGGTCCACATTGCCAGCAGTAAGGCAGTTTCTGGTTAGAGTTGGACTCTAACTCTCACTAAGTTGGACTCTAACTCTCACTAACTCTGCTCATAACTTTTTTGGGTCATGACCGAAAGAATGAGATCCCGAATACAAGCGGCTGAATAGAGTTTTCTCCGTCGTGTGTCTAGACTCTCGCTTAGAGATAGGGTGAGGAGCTCAGTCATCCAGGAAGGTGAAGAAGGTGAGAGCAGAACAAACACCAAAGGCTGCAGACATAGGCTGAACCTATTTAGAAACTTATGAAAGCATTTGAGGGAAATTGTTAAGGGTGCGCCTAATGCCAAGAAACAATTAATTAACATTTGGTATAGATCAAGATCATGTGCATGTTTCAGCCCTAGGTGTAAGTCAAAATATGAGGCATTCGATCGTGTCCTGCGGGGGGTGCTCTGGAAGTACCAGGCCCTTTAATAAAGGCTGTTATGTCTCTGTACGGCCGGTGTCAGAGCCTGGTCCACATTGCCAGCAGTAAGGCAGTTTCTGGTTAGAGTTGGACTCTAACTCTCACTAACTCTGCTCATAACTTTTTTGGACAGAATTTCTAGGCACAGCCAAGGTGTTGAGGGGATCTGTTTTGGTGGCCTCTGTTATTCGTGGATGACGTAGTTCTGTTGTCTTCATCACGGGTTGATCTACAGCTCTCAATGGAGCTGTTCGAAGCCGAGTGTGAAACAGCTGGGATGAGGATCAGAGTCCCCAAATCTGAGACTATGGTGTTGGGCCAGAAAAGGGTAGAGTGCCTTGTTCGGGTTGGGGAGGATGTACTGCCCCTAATAGAGGAGTTTAAGTATCTTGTTCACGAATGAGGCATCTGGTGGGAAGAAGGCCCTGTACCAGTCCGTTGTAGTGAAAAAAGAGTCAAAGGTCTCAATTAACCGGACGATCAATGTTCCATCATTTATAGCCATGAGCTTTGGGTCAAGACCGAAAGAATGAGATCCCGGATACAATGAATAGAGTTTTCTCCGTCGTGTGTCTAGACTCTCGCTTAGAGATAGGGTGAGGAGCTCGGTCATCCAGGAAGGTGAAGAAGGTGAGAGCAGAACAAACACCAAAGGCTGCAGACATACGCTGAACCTATTTAGAAACTTATGAAAGCATTTGAGGGAAATTGTTAAGGGTGCGCCTAATGCCAAGAAACAATTAATTAACATTTGGTAATGATCAAGATCATGTGCGTGTTTCAGCCCTAGGTGTAAGTCAAAATTTGAGGCAAAATGTGCTGCTTGTCTTTGCACTTTGGCCTAAATCCCATGCATGTTGCATGAGAAATATTATCCTGGCAAACAAATTCTCCTGAACTGTGGACCTCAACAGCTTGGCTGCATCTCAGATTAATGCTCTCCTGGTCCAGTCTGTCTATTAACCTAGATGCCAATGTCTTCATAGGTTTTCAGATGTTGCACACACCTTCCACCCTCCCATGATTGGCTGAATCGACCCCCATGTGATTTTCAAAGCCTTAAAAGTGTCCCCAACATTCTGTCCAACTTGTCTGCTGTGTTCCTTAGTCTTCACCAAGCTGTTTGTTCTCTAACGAACCTCACACCCTTCACAGAACAGCTGCATACAGACTCAGATTCAATTAGCATACAGGTGGACTCTGTTTACTAATTAGGAAACCTCTAAAAGAGCAATATGACAGAATTTTTACAAGTAAAATTTCCCTTTTCGGTTATTATCATGGCCAACATTTTATGGGTCTATCACATTAAATCTAATCTGACTATATAAGGTCAAAGAACAAAATACTAAGATAATTGTAAAGGGGAATGAATGGTATTTAAAGCAACTTTAGAGACAGATAAAAAACAACAACAAATGTTCCCTCTGATCTTCTTAACATTAAATCTCTTTACTTATATTTTATTTATTATAAAACATTTTTTTAGATACAAGTAGCAATCACCCGCTATGATGACCTCAGTTTTTCTAATTCTTAGTATTTTCTCTATCGGTGTAGAATATGATTTATCTCTCCTTATCCACCTCATTGCTATAAAAAGCGTTGCTAACAGGTTATCCCGCAGGTTTCAGAAGTTTTCCTGTTTCAACATGTTCATTTATAAGGAATCTGTTATCTCCACTGCATTAGTCATCAGACTCTAACAAGGTCTGTCACCTGCAGAAAATTTGTTTCGTTTTTTGACAAATCTTTATGTCGCCTCAAGTCTTTCTTTATTTTTCAGCTCTTATCTTTTAATTCTATTATCTAGAATCTGTTTCATCTACATTGAAATATCTATATTCTATACCTTTTTGCCCTCCTGTCACCTGGACTATAGCCCCACTCTGGGCTCTGACACATTTATCTACATCAGGTACTTTCAAAAACCAAGAGAAAGTGAAACGTTTTGAGTAATAACCATTAGTGTCAAACAGAAACTTTGGAATTAATCTTTTTCTGAGTACCAATTAAATATTTCCAGTACTGTTTGGGACTTTCCTGTGTCTGATGCTGGAAAGCCCCCCTTATACAATAACAACAACTCAGTGCAGAAGTCATCTTAAGGCCCATTACAGAAAAAAATATAAGCTCAAGTTAAAGAAACATCAGTTTTATATTTGTCCAACCAGAATAGATTATTAGAGAGGATATTCGTCCATAGAGTTGCAATTATTAGATACAGTCTAGGATGCCTTGTGTCCTGTAGAAATTATTCAATCCACCAAATCGTTAGAACTTGGAAAGTAAAATAAAAGTCTGATTTCCATTTATATTCAGCCTCCCTGAGACTAAATCCGCAGTTTATATAGTTGCAGAAGCAGCTCCTGCCACTGTTACAACTGCAAGCATTTAAGTACCGTTCGTCTCTACTAGCTCTGCACATCAAGACACTGAACCTCCACCAATTTGTATTTTTAAAATCAGGGAAAAGCTGATGTAGTTCTTCCTGGAAGGACTGCTGTACAATCATAGATATTTAGTTCATTTAGATAAATATTTTATAAATATTTAGTTCTGCTAGATGGGAGATTCTCTGTAGTGTGTCTGGGCTCTCCCTTAGAGATAGGGTGAGGAGCTCCGTCATCCGGGCAGGACTCAGAGTAGAGCCACTGCTCCTCCACATCGAGAGGATCCAGTTGAGGTGGCTCGGGCACCTGGTTAGGATGCCTCCTGAAGGTCTCCCTGGTAAGGTGTTCTGGGCACACCCCATGGGGAGGAGACCCAGAGGGTTGGATGGATGGATGGATGGATGGATGGATGGATGGATGGATGGATGGATGGATGGATGGATGGATGGATGGATGGATGGA